ATTAAAATCATCGGCGTTACGCAAGTTAAAGTGATTTATGAAGGTATCACGAAATATTTACAAGAGGTAGTCGTTGAGTCAAGAAAAAATGCCTTGTTAGGCCGTACATGGATTAATGCCTTCAAAAATATTTTAAATAAATTTATAGCAAATATTGACACAAACTATGAAGATAAAATTAAAAAATTGATTAAAGAGTGCGAATCCAAGTTGACGGACAATTAACAAAGCAAGTGTCAAATTACATTTAAGAAGAGATGCCCAACCTAAAATTATACCATCTAGACGTATACCCTATGCAAAGATTGATCTTGTGGGCAAAGAACTTAATAAATGGATAAATGATAAAATTATTGAGTCGGTGAATGATATTTGATGATGGGCAAGTCCTATTACCGCCGTCTACAAAGATGATGGGAGCATTAAGCTTTGCGCTGATTTTAAGGACACTGTAAACCCAGCTCTAGAAGATTTCAGATTTCCACTTCCACGAATAAATGATCTAATGGCTAAACTTTCAGTAGGAAAGAAATTTACTAAGATCGATTTTAATGCCTTCTTACAGGTCCCGATTGATAAAAGTTGCAGAAATATTTTGACTATATTCACGCACAAGGGATATTACCGATTTACTAGACTTCCTTTTGGGCTAAAGACCTCATCTGCAATCTTCCAACAGATCATGGACCAGATCTTCGGTGACATAAAAGATATCATATTTACATTGATGATTTACTTACAACCGGAAAAAACGATGAAGATCATAAACAATATAAAAAAAGTGTTTTAAAGAATATCATCGTTTGGGTTAGTATCTAACTTCATCAGAAGTGTGTTCTTTAAAAATAAAGTGAGGTTCCTAGGTCATGATATTGACGTCGATGGAAGTCATGCTAATCCCGACAAAATTGAAGCATACGCGAATATGCCAGAACCAAAATCAGCTGTTGAATTATCAACATTTCTGGTAATGGCTGGCTACTACAGAAAATATTTGGACAATTTTGCAGAAATTTCCGATCTTCTATATAAAATCGTCAACAAAGTAAAGTGGGCTTGGAACTTAGAACACTTTAGAAGTTTTAATGATTTAAAGAAGTGATTAGTCTTCCTCCTGCCTTGACTTATTTTAATTCTGAATTACCTATAGGAATTGCTACTGACGCATCTAAATGTGTTTTAGGAGCTGTATTATTTCATACTGAAAAAGACGGCAAAGAAAAACCAATGGCTTTCGCTTCAAGAATTTTATTTAAATCCAAATAAACTATACCAATATTGAGTGTGAGGCTCTCGCTATTATGTTCGCTATAAAAAGGTTCCAGGAATACTTAATTGGCACGAAGTTTACAATTATTACTGACCATAAACCTCTAGTCCACATCTTCACCAAGGGTCTTAAGGACAATAGTACTATGTCCTTAAGACTGCAGAAGTGGAATATAACATTAGGAGGTTATGATTTCAATATAAAGTATAAAGCCAGTAGTTCCTGATTGTCTCTCGAGATTACGACAAGAATGTCACGATGAAGGTGTTGAAAATATCACAATTATAAATGACTTTGGGGATATACCTATCAATTTTAATAAAATACATGATGAAACTTTCAAAGATATTAAATTAAAACAAGTCATCAATGATATTAAAAACAACGTGCCTATAAAGAACAATATCTATAAAAACATTGAATTGGAATTGAGTATAATTAAGGATTCTCTTTACAAAAGCAACAAAATCATAATTCCATCTTCTAGGAGAAAATATGTACTACAGTCATTATATGAAGGTCATTTGGGAGCAGGAAAAATCAAATCCTTAGCCAGTGGTGGTCTGGTATAAATCACGACATAGACATGTAAGTGAAAAGTTGTAACGATTGTAACATATATCATGACAATTCTAAAAAGATACAGAAACCATGGGGTTCGGCAACCAAACCATTTGAAAGGATACACATAGATTATGAGGGTCCGTTTTTCACAAAAAATTGGTTAATAATAGTCGATGCCTATAGCAAATTTCCAATTATTGTTCCTGTTAAAAATATTACGACCGATATCACTTTAAAAGAAATTTTCAAAACTATTTCGCTATATAGAATACCTGAAACTATAGTAACTGATAATGGCACTAACTTCACAAGTAATGATTTTGAAAAATTTTGCAATGATTATGGTATTAAACATGTGCTCACGTCCGCGTATCACCAGTAATTCAATGGCCAGGTAGAACGCATGGTGAGAACATTCAAAACACATATGAAAAGGAATACCAAAATTGACTTAGATACTGCACTTGACAAATTTATATTCAATTATAGAAAACGCGAAATGATACTACAGGAGTCACACCCTCCAAGTGGTTCAATTGCGATATTAGGGTTAAATGGGACTTATTAAAATCGTTGGTAGAAAAGGAAAACAGAATCAACGTTGCCTTACCACGCAATAGAACCTTTAACGTAGGAGATTTTGTTTGGTACAAAGTACAAGGTGATGACAAATGGTGGAAAGGTATGGTCACCAGCGTCTACATGACAGGATTTTTACTGGATGCAAACCCCCTTCAAAAACCTTTGCCTACCCCCCTATTTATTTTACTCTTTTCAGAGAATTTATAAGCATAACTTAAATTAATCTATCTCTACTACCAACTATTGATATTTTGCGAATATAAAGAATTTATTTTGTAGATAATAAATTCAATTAAAACCTCCATTATTTACAATGATATGGTATTATGAGCTTGCTGATATATCTAAACTTTTAAATTAAAAAGGATAGCAGAAAGTTTTATTTGGAAAACAATGTGTATGATAGTTTGCAATATATAGATTTGGTCGATAATTGTATTATAATATTTCATTAATAAAAGTATAAATTTTTCAGCAATAAATTTTGTCCTATTTCATCTCAAAATTTAATAGAAACCCCCCCCCCCCCCAAAAAAAAAATTTTTTTTTATCCTACCCCCATTAAAACAGCCTACTCCCTCAAAAACATAGGATGCAAACTGTTGCTGTTCCTACCCCTCCCTCTCATGTAGAAGCTGATGGTCACACACAAAGAAAGTGACATGATGTTCCAAATCAAGACAGATAAATGTATTTTGAGGAGACACTTAGATCAATTAATAATAAGGAATTGTTTTAACACACTTATTAATCATGATTCTAATTCTAAAGATTTTTTTAAGGAGGGAAGTGTGGACAAAAATATAAAACTACTGATAAAAATAATGTAACACCGATTTCTAGACCAATGCGAATTAAACAGAAACCTGCTTATCTAAAAGATTATGTAACTTAAAATATAAAAACATATAAAAATAAATTAAACAATTAAAAGGCAAAAAATAAATTAAACACTAAAACGCAAAAAATAAAAACGCTAAAAATTTTATATAACAATCTTATTGATTTATCATCTTCACTTATTATATAACAATCTTATTGATTTATCATCCTTCACTTATTCAACTTGATCAATTATATTTGGACTGATGATAATAACAATTTTGAAAATTGATAATAATAACGACTGAATACTACAAGGCTCATGATAGAATCACGGTTTATGAAGACAACTCGATAAGTATAACAAGCTTACGATTTAAACAAACCAACGTGCAAACTCGATTTAAGCAAACTAACGTACAAACTCGATTTACACAAATCGACGATTGAGATAAGCCAATGATTACAATGACTTATGCAACAACTTAACAACCATAACGATTTGAAGAATCATTCGAACGACAAACCTTCTATGACAGCTTAGAACATTTTATGAGAAGGCTTTTTAGAAGAAGGAGAATGTTATATAATAAATATTCAAATTTGTACTTTTATTTTATTTTTGCCTTTCAACTTACGATTTAAACTTTTACGATTTAACCTTTTACGATTTAACCTTTTACGATTTAACCTTTTACGATTTAACCTTTTACGATTTAACCTTTTACGATTTAACCTTTTACGATTTAACCTATTACAATTTAACCTTGTACAATTTAACTTTTTACAATTCAATCTTTTGTAAATTAACTTTTTACAACTTAACCTTTCATTACTTTTGTTTTTCGTTTTGATCATATGTATTCTAATTTATATTTTTTAGATAATATATATAGTGTGTGTAGAACATAATTAAGGAGAATAGATATTTAGAGAAACATTTTTTTTATATTTTTTTGGATGAACACACCATCATCTACATAAATGATAAATATCTCTAGAAGTCAAAATATAATCTTCTATCGATCTATATATATGTTTAAAATTTTAAAATTTGAATGGCTAAGTTAAATAATTAAATAACTAAATAACACGAAGATTATCTCAAAATCAAAATATAAAATAATATTACAAGATTTCCTTATCTCTCTATATTGTGCAAATTAAATTGAATATACCAATAGTTCAAATTGAGTAGATTAAAAATAATTATGTGAATGTTGAAATAAAATTTAACTTATAAATACTATTTAATGAAATTCGATCCCAACTTCATAAAATATCAGCCAAACGATTTTCTTCGCCTCGGCGATATCTAAAATATTTATAGTATATAGCAATAAATAATTTCATATATTTTAATCCTCCTCCAAATGATTGGATTTTAATTATTTCTCAAAATATATTAGATTAGGCAAATTTAATAAATTAAATTTTTTTATTTAAAATTATTTTTAAAAAATTAATTCTACTCTTCAATATAATTTATTTTATTTATTAATGGAGGTATTTATTCTAGTATATGTATTCCGTATTACGTTTATGCTCTGTTTATTTTATTACAAATAAATTATTTTAAGATACATCGAATTTATCATTAAAGTTTAAATAATTAAAAATTTATCAAGTTAAGGTAGTTTGTAAAACGATACTATTTAATATAAATCTAGCATTTGAGACATTTATGATATATAAATATTAATAAATATTTTAAAATAATTATTCAAATAAATATTTTCTTTCGAGATTAAGCGTGACTAAATTCGCGAATTTTATCTCAGAAACGCATGACCCCCGAAACTACGAATATTATTCAAGTTTCTAATTTATCTATACAAGCAACTCAGGAACAAATTGTAACCCTTTTCGGTTTTTTGGGGGCTATAGACGATTATAAATTATTTTCCTCCGAGTAATAAATTTTGTTAATATTATTTTTGATCTTTTTTATATTTCTATACATACATTATTGACTTATTATTATCAAATTCTAATAAACTAAGAGATGTCACCACCTTTATAATATATATATATATGGCTGACTTTTTATACTCGTTAAAAGTATATATATAGATATTTATGAAAGTAACTAAAAAAAAGAGTTATTTATATCAAGTATGAATTATATTTATTGGCAAAAAATATATAAAATCTACAATTGATATTGTTCTATATAATAAAATAAACCTATAAATCGAATTATTAAATTTAAAATATTTTTCATAACAATTTGCTTTCCTATCGTAGAAATAAGTTTTAAATCAATTCATATATAGTATATTTACTTACGTTAATTTAAGACAAATATATTTTTTTGGTTTTTTTAATCAATATATGATTTTTACCATACATGATTTAAAAATTTACTTACTGGTATAGTTCAGTAATTATTATATTTTTAGTCATTTAAGCCAATTTTTAGCTGGCTAAAAAATTTGCTGATAATTTTTGCCTGTTTTTTTAAAAAAAAGATAGCAGCTCAAATTTGGAACAAATATATATAAACTAAAATGCCTTAATGTTAACAGATTTTCTATGACAGGTGCCTTAAGATTGAGCCAAATTAGCTGACAATACTTGCTGGCAAGCATTTGCAGTGGGCCAGTATATACACTACACTGATATAATCTGAATTAGATTGTTTATAATTATTGTTAGCCAGTACCACTTTTTGGAGGCTGATCTAATCTGATATCTCCAATATTATTGATATTAGTTGATTACCTATATGATATCACTAATGTAATTTCTTCATTGTACATATTAAATATATTTTAATCTTTATGATTATAGCATAATATAAGTCATTTAAAATATGCCATTATCAAATTATAATTTTCTTATCATTTTAATAGAAACATATCTAGTCTATTTGATTAATTTAAATTGCAAGAATATTTTGAAAATGATTTATTAATCTTAAAAAAATTATATATATATAATTTTTTTAAACATATTTTATTTTTTAGTAATAAATTATTAAAATTTTACGATGATAATGGATATCCTAAAAAAGACAAATAAATTATCAGATTCTATAAAAAAATTTATTACTTCCCTATTTATGGTTTGCACATTTTAAAATGATCAAATCTAAATATTTTAATTAGTACTATATTTTTTAAGAATAAATTATTACTATCAAATAAAGGTGGGGTAAAGAAATCTATAAAAACAAAATTTTTTATTCATTCTTTTTATTAATAATTTTTATCATAATGAAATGATTAAAACAATTTCTTTTAGTTTTTTGTTCTCAGATAAGTATACAATATTGATCTCAAAAATGAATATAGATGGCATACTTCCAGCTATCTTTTTTGGTAGTTATAGCTAATAGCATGCTACTTTTTTTAAAATAATTTTTTTAGCGTGCTCCTTTTTTTGCTTAGCTACTTTTTTAAAATATAATGAATATGAATATAACTATAAACATGAAAATTTAAATATAATATCATAATTTTTATGATTTATTATTTAATTTTGAAATTGAAATATATTTTTAATTTGTAATTTATATTTTCAATTTGTATTATAAACCTAAATCACATGTAAATTATTTAAAATGTCATCGCAAATGGATATCCAAATTGTTGAAAGTGAGTCAGACCATGATATAAATGAAATGGAAGATATCTGGGAAGAAATGTTTTTAATAACAATAATAGAAATTTCCTATTTCAAATTTGAAAAATATATTGAAATTAATATAAAAACCAAAACTGGCTACAAATTTATTTGTTTAAAATGTAAAAAAAATATATCCTCAAATCAATCCAGTAGCTATAACCTCAAAAAACACCTAAAGGTAATTGTTATGTTTCAATGCTAGTATTTATTTTATAAAAATGTTCATGCCAACAGTTTTAAGGAAATAAAAAAACATCTAAATAATTTTTGTGTAGGCAACTAACTCTGTTTACTTCATACTAAATATATTCCTATAATATAGGTTTAATTCTTTTTTTAAAAAAAGTTAAATTAAAAAAAACATTTATTTTAATTTCTTTTATTATTAGACAACCAGATTCATATTTGGGGATTGAAGACCTAACTCAAGTCTGCTACATTAAATACAAAGAATGTGTTAGTGCTCACATTGCTCAGCATTTATCCAGCACATTGTTCTTAGAAAAACCACTGAGCGTAGCATTATATTTAAGAGGTCAATCATATTTGATTTCCATAAAATTTTAGATAATTGGTATGTATATTTTTTAAAATTCCCTGCACTTAAGTTTCTTATAGATTAATTTGAACCAGACAAAAACTTAACTTAAAAATCATATTTTAATTAATCATTATTTTAAGTTAAGTCAATTTTGTTAGCAAATGAAACTGTGATATTTTTAGTTAAATAATTTTCTAATGTAAACAAGCCCATCTATCCTAAAATTTAATTGTTATATAAATTAATGGTTTAATTTGAGTTATTTATTTTGTATCTCTTGTGATAAGCACCTTTTTTGAAAACTAGCATTACCTTTATCTCATGTTTTTGAAAGAAACCTTTAACAACATCGATATAAAAATACTCTATTATATATTTTTTTATATCCATCATTTTAATATTTAGAAGAATTACCCGACACATTGGATCCTGACGCAGTGAATGAAAATATTAATTCTATTTTGGCTCCTTCCTCCTCTTGGCCATCTCACGTTGTTCACAAAGTTAGCTATTATATCATTCATCTACTTAGTATTTTATAATTTATAAATATTTATTTTTATTTTCCAGTTATTTGTAATACTTTACAATTAGGCACATTGGCGACTTCTTTTTTTTTAGCTGATACCTAACTAAATTCCAAAAAATGTCATATATTTACAGAAAAAAGCAAAGCTATAGATTCATCAATTTTATCATTTATAATTAATTTTTGAAATAAAATGCAAAACGAAACACTAATAAAAGAAAATTAACAGCACCTTCCTTCTTGGTTGAAATGTTCATGTTTATATAAATTCCTAGCTTAATTTAGGTTAAAACATTTTTTTAAAGTTTTAATTAGCATTAATCAGTCACTGGTATTGATTAAAATGATAATATTAACTGATATTAATATCAACCAATGATTTTCTTATTTTTTTTGATAAATTTGATCATTTATTTAGAAACCTTAAAATTTTTTTTAACTTTATATACATGGGGTGATTTAAGTTTATTTTAGCATATTCACTGACACCATATTTTTACTTAAAAATATGTAGCTGTTATTTGACTAATTCACAACACTTAATATCAAAGGTCTGCAAAATGATATTTTTGCGACCTGAGCCCAAATTTTAAATTTTTTTGTCCAAGCCCAACCCAAGACCGAACGCACCTTTTTCTATCCAACCCAAGCCCGACTAAAAAAATTTATAATTTGATTTAAATATTATTAATCATTTTTTATTTTAAAAAATATATATTAAAAATTACAATTAAAATAGAACATGAAAAATATTTTTAAAAAAACGTAAAAAAGATTTGAGAATGTTAAATGATTCGGGCTAAGAATTTTCAAACACTAAATAATTGGACGAATTATTGTAATAGCAATGTTTTATTTAAGTTTATAAAAAGGAGCGATATATGTTTTTTTTCCTTATGAATTATGAGACCGTTTTAAACAGCTTGCCCAAAGGAGCAGGATGATCTAGCTACGATGTGGACAAAATTGTTATCACCCATAGTAATATTTTTGGAATTTTAATAACAGCCCTGAGAAAAGGTAATGTATATTATTAGAAGGGGAAAGGGGGTCTATCTAAGAAATAATTAAAAATTATGTGTATTTATTCACATATTGCCACCTTATATAACAGTATATTTAACCCATAATCTATTCAATGTTCATATAAATTTTCTTTTTATTAATTTGCATCTATATATAAATTTTATTCAGTTTAAATATAAAAAGTAAAGTTAAAATACAATTGAATTTAAAAATTATTGTGATTATATAGAAATAATTTGCATGATTGATGTCAAAAAAAGATGTTATAATTGTTTATAGGGTTGGACACACCTTACACGAGCCCTAGCCAGAGAAAATTTTTTTCAATGTCCAAACCCAACCCGAGCTGCTTAGGACAGGCCGTGCAGACCTCTACTTAGTATATTCTCCTGAGCAAAACATACAGCCATATTTTTTATTTGTTTTTAGTTAAGAAGTCATATCTCATCACTTGTTTAATTTGTAGGGCTGGTACCCCTCAATAATTTTTTTTGCACTGCTGAAAATTTTCAAATCACATTCCATCTTTTTTGGGCTCATTATTAAGAATTTTTTATATTGATATCTAGTTTTTCACAACCATTTTATTCCAAATACTTTAATTTTTATAAAAAGGTAATTATAAAATACTTGCATTTCTGATTATAATAATAACACCACATTGATTGATATTGGCCTCTAATATCTATACTTTTCCTATTTTAATTTTTTTTTCATATTTAATATTTTACACATGCTTGCTTTGATCGCTTTCTAAAATATAATTTTACATAGATAACGGGCTCTGGTCCTACTCAATTGATACACACAATAGATCCAAAACTCAGCAACCTAGGTCTGCCTCAATATCCTCCCCTTTCGGGAGTGTTTGAACCCTCGAGGATCGAAGAAATTAGGAGAACCATATACGTTGGCAACCTTAATTCTAAAGTATTCATTATTATTTTCATTCTTCCTTACTTTCGTGTTTAAAATTGGAAAACTGGGTGAAATTTAAGAACTCTGGCAAGAACAATGTCTTAAAATTTATAGGAATTGGAATGGTACCAGTTCTAATTAATAAAATTTAACATAATTCATTTTAATAATTTATTAGCAGAGTTTAAAAAGATCATTTTTGAGGATCTGAAGATTTTTTTCGCCCAAATGAGCAAAAGTTTTCATTTTTATAGAGTTTGAAATACTTTACAAAATAAAAAATCTTTAAAGATTTTGATCTCTAATTTTTAATCAAAAAAATTATATAGTAATTTTTTTTATAATTCTTTTGTGGTCATAAAAATATTTTATGATTAAATCACAAATTCTTTAAAAATATTTTGATCTTTTAAAAATTCTTTAATTTTGTTATCTTGAAAAATTCGCTCAAGCGAATCTTCAAAAAATCTTTGATTTTTTCAAACTGTTTTTTGAGAATGCTTAGAATTTTCCTATAAATTCATAATATTATGGGCAAAAAAATCTTTTTAATATTATCTCATATTTTATTTTATACATTGTGTCGCACTAAGCAAATCCGTTCTCTTCACTTTCCACACCTAATGTTAGTTAATTTTTATTGTTAAATTTTTAAAATGATGATAAAAAGATAAGTGGGGAAGCCCTCCTTACTTTCTTCGATTCCAATGTGGGTGAGGTCAAATACGTTCGAATGGCTGGGGATGATAGTCAGCCCACTAGATTTGCCTTTGTCGAATTTTCTAACCAAGAATCTATTCCTCTAGCTCTGCAATACAACGGCGTTTTACTGGCCGATAAACCACTCAAGTTTGTTATAGAGATATTTTTTGAGGGTAGAAAACATTTCGAATAAATAAAAAATTAGTAAGGGTATAACCGATGCCCTTGATAATTAATAGGTATACTTATGCCTTAGTGTTTTAAATCAATAAACGCTGGCTACCCTTATAAAGGTTTAACCAAGCTTTTCAAAATACTACTAACGATTAGCCTCAACTTAAATATGGGGGCGATTTTTTATAAAATAAAAACAAAACTTGACAGCCATTTTTGTGTGGTTAAAAATAGGTGATTTAAAACCTTACCTGTGCCTAACGCTCAAAACCTTACCCGTGCCTAATGCTCAGCTGGTGGCTTATTTTATTTATAAAATCGCCCTGACACCATGGTGCGCCACTCTTTAGTTATCATATGTCACGTAAGACCCGCTTATCTTAAATATTTTCAACTTGCTAAAATCTTTTTTTTTAATTATTAAAATTAAACATTAATAAATTTATTCATTTAAAAAAAATAAAATATATGGTTATATGTAAAAACACCCATATTTTTAATTTTTTATTTAAAACATGAATTCAATTTTGTGATGAACATGTCATTTTGAATTTAACGTTGACCCAGCAATTAAGAAAATATTTCATAGGGTCTCATTTATTATAGCGCTAAAATACCGTTGACGCATAATTTACAAAATACATACTGGTAAATTATACAGCTATGCTATCGTTTAACAATGAATTACATCGTTTGAGTGACATCGTGATTACTAAAAACGAGGACTAAATTCGCTAGTTGCTTACAATAAATCATAAACAAACATTTACGAGGCAAAAAAATTTGAAACACTAAAATTTATTTACCCATACATACCCCCAAAATGTTTTTTCCTATCCCCTGAAATACACAAAAATCATTATTTTAATGATAGCTGCTATAAAGTGGAGTGGGGTTTGTGGTTCAATCTCAGATGGGAACCATTTTTCTTGACCCTTTTTTAAAAAACCAATTTAAGCTAGAGATTATGTGCTATGGGGTTAGCTTATACCAGATTTGGCCAGGGAATTATTTAAGGTCTCTTAAAAAAGAGGTTTAAAAAACAAACACTTAAATATATTATAGTCTATAATAATTATTTATTTAAAAACTATATAATATATAGTACTTTTAAAACAATAAATGAATCTTATATATATCACCCCACTATTTGTTTGTAATAATTAATACAATTAATAAACAGACGATAAAAAAATTTAATGTATAAATGCTTGAAATATCCAAATTTTTAGAAATAATATTTTGCAACACTCAATATCAATATAACATTACGCGCTGGAACTCTCTGGTATCCATTTTTTAATATAAAAATTCACCCACCTATAAAATAAATTCACAAATAAGATATGCTTGTTTTAAATAAAGATTTGAATCGAATTTTTTTAATCCAAAATCATATTAAAAATGGTGAGGTTAAATATTATAAAATAGTGAAATTATCATAAGTATTAAGAATATAAGTTTTGAGAAAAGAAATGAACCTCACTCATGACCTAAATGGATCTCTTAATGCCCATCTTATCGTTCATTGCAGGATAGAACTCTCAGTACATCCATCTTGTATATGTCGTATTGGGATAATTTGGAATCTATCGATTTTAATTAGTGTTGCGTAATCGGCTAATTTTAGCCAACTACAAAACGGCTTAGCCGAGATTTTAGGTGAAAAAATCGGCTAAGCCTAATTAGGTAAAGCCTAAAAATCGGCTAAACCTAATTAGGCTAAGCCTAAAAATTGGCTAAAATAATACTCAAAAATTCTGCATCGATGCCTAGTATTAATTATTATTTATTTATTTTAGTAAAATAATTTATTTATATTTAATGTAAATATTTTATTATTATCAACAAATAAACATGATATGATTTAATATTTTTTATTTATATTGTTTTATTTTGAAATGAAAATAAATTTATTTATTTGATGTTTTTTTAATAAAAAAAATAATATGCTGCTATATTGTAAAAATGTAATATTCTTTTTAATATAATTTATTAGTGATTTTCACAATCTTCTTTGTAAATACATCTTTTATTGAGGAATTATATTGTAAATTTTATTTGATAAATAAACAATCTTTTAGGTGAAATCTTTTGTCATTTTTTTAAAATTATCTATTTTTTATTAAATGAAGTGGATTGTATGAAACTTTTTTGATGTTATTTTATATGATCTTTATAAGGATAATATTTTAGTGTGACAATTGTCATAATCGTTATTTTTAAAGTTTTTAGAATTTTTTTGACGACAATATGTTAAAATAAGTATTAATAACATGTGTAAATATAAATTTAGTGTAGATGTACCAATGAAAAGTGACAATTGTCATAAATAAAATGTCAATTTGCTCCTGTTTTTGGGGAAGAATCTAATATTACCATATGTTTTTTCTATGGCACATACTCAGGCAATTTTAATTTTACAATCTTTATTTTTACCCATTTACATCAAAGAAATTTTAAAAACTTTAAAAATAACGATTATGACAATTGTCACTTTTCTATGGTACATCTTCATTTAATTTTTATTTAAACATGTTATTATTACTCATTTTAACATATTTTCGTCAACAAAAAACTTTGAAAATAACGATTATGACAATTGTCGCTTATCTAGAGTACATCTTCACTAAATTTTTATTTAAACATGTTATCAATACTTATTTTAAAATATTTTTGTCAATAAAATTCAAAAAACTTTAAAAATAACGATTATGACAATTGTCACTTTTCTACGGTACATCTTCACTAAATTTTATTCAAACATGTTATCAATACTTATTTTAACATATTTTCTTCAAAAAAATTCAAAAATCTTTAAAAATAACGATTATGACAATTGTCACTTTTCATTGGTACATCTTCACTAAATTTATATTTACACATGTTATTACAGTAATAATATGACCTGTTGTAACACATTTTCATAATGTGAAAAAACATTCTTATATAGTTAAATAACTTTCCATAATTATTGTAAAAACATTTTGATAAAATTTTTGATATAATTTTTTTTAAATTTTTTTAATAATAAGAGTTTTTAAACTTTAATGAAGATTAACGTCAAGGTTATATATCGAATATAATTTTTTTATGTTTTGGACCCAAGTTTAATTGGGGAAATGAGAATAAAAATTTTCTAAGATTTTTAGAATAATTTTTTTTTAAAAATGCATTATAAATTTTTTTAAATTTAAAGTATTATTACAATATATTAATGTTACTTTTAGTTATCTAAAAAATGGAAATCAGGAAAAGAAATTTGATAATTTCTTAAAAAACAAGTGAAAGAAAATTCGGATTTAGGGTTTTCAGATAATTCTTATTTTTTTTTGGTTTTAAAATTAAATAAAATTTCCTAAAATGACGCATACCAAAAATCATCGAGATGTGCCACCAACCATTCTACCCATAACGGAAGCCCCGACACTTCAATTTAACTTCCGTAATTATTGTAAAAACTTGTTGCCAAAAATACATCCTTTTTTAAAAAAACTTTTAAAAACTTGAAAGAAAATTTTGAGAAACACATTATATTTTTAAAAACTTCTGGTAATTAACTTAAATTAAAACCTATAATAATTCTTTCTTTAATTTGCTACAATTTTAATTTTAAACTTCTATATTTTATAATTAATAATTTTTTTAAATGTCAAATTTTACTATCGCTAGTATTTTGAATCTATCTCCAGTTTCAGGTTTGTTAATATAATATTCTATTATTTACTAACCTTATATATAAAATTCGAGATACAACTAATGAAACTTTTAATTCTCTCGGGGAGTTATCTGAAATAACAAATAGATACCAAAGTTATTCACCTATCCCATCAAATTCCCTTAGATGCCTAACTGACATTACAAATCGATGTCATTCGAATATTCAAGAGCAACCAAATTTTGACCCTATTCGTTTGAAGAAAAAAAATGGTAATTGGAGCGATGAAAAAATGGAATTGGCTAAAATATGGCTGAGCAAACCAATTGATGATCAGCCCAATGCAAAGACAATTGCCCATGATCTAAATTTATCCATTGGTTCGGTTTATCGTTTCAAACGGGAAACTTTTCCTGAATATTACGACGACCCTTTATCTGATTATATAATAAAACAATGAGGGCGGAAGAAGAAAGACACTACAGAACTTCAATCGCATATAGCTGAATTGTTTGGTAATAATAACGGCTATACAATCAAAAATATTATAGAACATTTACCGCCACATCTAAGGTTGAGCGAGTCAGCTATATCCAAATGCATTAAATTAATGGGCTGGAGTCGGAAAAGGGTTGGGAAAGAACCCGATAGGAGAAACTCTCCAGATGTAATTCAAATTCGAAAGGAATATTGTGACAAGATGATAAATATTTTTTTTGAAAATGTATACTTCCTGGACGAGACAGGGTTTAATACCCATATTATTTCTCATTATGGGTGGGCACCTTTGGGGAAACGACCATCTGTTAAATTACCTCCTTCCAAGGGGAAAAATATATCAGTCCTATGCACAATAGGAATAAGTGGATTGAAAAAATTCACAACAATACATAGGGCTTTTACTGCGATAAAATTCAAGGCATACCTGGATGAATTATTCGCACTTTTACTATCAAATTCATTACTTTTAATGGATAATGCTCCTATACATCGAGCGAGGATAATTAGTGAGAATTATCCAAATATCATATTTTTGCCACCCTATTCGCCGCAATTAAATCCGATAGAAAATTTTTTCGGAGTAATTAAAAATCAATATAGATCAAATTCTCCTAAACTCAATAACCGAAATGAAGTTATTTCAATTGTTACGAGTATTTTAGGCAATTATTTTACATATAATTTTTCAAATTTTTATTCTCACACCATAAAGTTTATTGAAGAGGAAATTCAATGCATTCCTTTAAATGATTGAATTTGTAATTGATTTATATTGTGTAATATTTTATTTACAAAGAATAAATAAGTAATAAATGGTTTTTTTTATTTTGGTGTTTCGAATTGATCATAAAAAATTATAAACAAATAAGAAATATCTGAAAACCCTAAATTCGAGTTTTCACTCATGTTTATTTAAGAAATTATTCAAATTTCTTATCCCGATTTCCATTCTTTGGATAACTAAAAGTAAAATTAAAATATTGGAATAATGTTTTAAATTTAAAAAAGGTATTGTAAAAATCTTAGAAAATTTTTTTTATATAATATCTTTTAAAATTCTAATTTTTAAACTTATGTCTAAAACATAAAAAAAAACTATATTCGATTCATAACTTTCATTAAAGTTTAAGAACTTTATTATTAAAATTTTTTTTTTGAATTCTCATTTTTCCACTTTAACTTGTGCCAAAAAACACTATTTGATTCATAACTTTGATGTTAGTCTTCATTAAAGTTTAAAAACTTTTCAAAGTTTTTTTTAAAAAATTTAATTTATATCAAAATGTTTTTTACAATAATTATGAAAAGTTATTTAACTATATAAGAATGTTTTTTCACATTATGAAAATGTGTTACAACAAATCATATTATTACTGTAATATTTATTTTAACATATCGTCGTCAAAAAACTTTAAAAATAACGATTATGACAATTGTCACTTTTCTTTGGTACATCTTCACTAAATTTATACTTACACATGTTATTAATACTTATTTTAACATATTTTAGTCAAAAAACTTTAAAAATAACGATTATGACAATTGTCAATTTTCTATGGTACATCTTCACTAAATTTTATTTAAACATGTTATCAATACTTATTTTAACATATTTTCTTCAAAAAAATTCAAAAAACTTATAAAATAACGATTATGACAATTATCACTTTTCTATGTACATCTTCACTAAATTTTATTTAAACATGTTTTTAATACTATTTTAACATATTTTCTTCAAAAAACTTATAAAATAACGATTATGACAATTGCCACTTTTCTATGGTACATCTTCACTAATTTTTTATTTAAACATCTTATTAATACTTATTTTAACATATTTTCTTCAAAAAAATAAATAACGATTATGACAATTGTCAATTTTCTATGGCACATCTTCACTAAATTTTTATTTAAACATGTTATTAATACTTATTTTAACATATTGTCGTCAAAAAAATTCTAAAAACTTTAAAAATAACGATTATGACAATTGTCACTTTTCATTGGTACATCTTCACTAAATTTATATTTACACATGTTATTAATACTTATTTTAACATATTTTCTTTAAAAAAATTCTAAAAACTTATAAAATAACTATTATGACAATTTTCACATTAAAATATTATCCTTATAAAGATCACATAAAACCATCAAAAAAGTTTCATAAAATCCACCTCATTTAATAAAAAATAGATCATTTAAAAAAAATTATAAAAGATTTCACCTAAAAGATTGTTTATTTATCTAATAAAATTTACAATAATTCCTCAATAAAAGATGTATTTACAAAGAAGATTGTGAAAATCACTAATAAATTATTAAAAAGAATATTACATTTTTACAATATAGCAGCATATTATTTTTTTTATTAAAAAAACATCAAATAAATAAATTTATTTTCATTTCAAAATATAATAATATAAATAAAAAATATTAAATCATATCATGTTTATTTGTTGATAATAATAAAATATTTACATTAAATATAAATAAAATAAATAAATAATAATTAATGCTAAGCATCGATGCAGAATTTTGACTAATTTAATTTTAGCCGATTTTTAAGCTTAGGTGTAGTTTTTAGCCGATTACGCAACACTAATTTTAATCATTTACTGATTTACCTGAGATATATTCCAACTTGTATAGAGTAATCACATTATGAATTTTATTCTTAGAGTTTTGGAATATTTCTAACTTATATCCATTTTATATAGATTTTTCATATATAAATTTAAAAAAATACACAAATTTTTGGGGAAATTGTCTGAAATTTAAAGAGTAGGAGGTCTAGACATGCTGGAATACGTTTCCAATGATTTTTCAAATTTAAAAATCACCCACAGTAAATGATATAAAATTAAGAGAAATTTAATCCCCATAGATTCCAAATCTCAATACTACATATACATCACTATGTCCTACTTGGATTCAATCTCAAAATTATAGATTCATTTACTGATGGCAATTGATTAGATCTATGCAATTCTGCTTTTAAGCAAATTATTTTAAAATTATAATTATATTTGAATGAATAGAAGAATAGTGAAAAGAAAATAGTAAATTTAAAAATGTATCTTCAGATCAAAATTTGGATGTTTATTGATCATAGTTAGAATATATTCATGTATAGAGTTGTTAATATACACTTTTTCAATGTATCTAGACGCAGATACACGACCAAAAAATGTGGCTGGGACACCATTACATTTTTTTAAATTATAATGTTAAAATAAAATCAACTTAAATAAATGAACCAATTTTTATAATATTATTGTTAGCTTTTTTAAATAAAATAATCTCAAAATATTTATCACTGAGGCATTCCAGTTTATCCGTCAACGTATTTTTAGCTGCAAAATTTTCAAATAGTAGTATAATGTTACACTTTATGAGTAACACTTTTTACTAGAGTAATCTAAATATAGTAAAATCGTGAACGCGAAGGATATTTTAAATTAATTATTCAAAGTTTAAATTACATATGAAAACCTTGAGGGTTCTCCTAATCGCTGTGTCAGTTTTTATATCTTATAATTTTTTTGACATATGAAACCAAAGCTCAATTAAGTTTAAAAATTTCGCTGATAATGCATGTGTTGATTGTTTCTTATATTACTTCTTCAGCAGAATCATTAATCATAAAAAATTTATAAGAAATTAATTTACCTTATGTATAATAAAATTCTTTGTGTGTTGGAAAAAAATAACTCAGGCAAATTTAAAAAAAATTTAATACGGAAAAAGGATTGAATTTAAATATTTTCATTATAATAAAAAAAGGCATAAACTAGATTATCAAAATATATCTATAAATGTATACCAATACATCTAAATATGTATCTATATACAGTGTTAACAACTTTGACGTGTATAAAATATATATCTTGGGAGCTTAGCAAATTCTGGGCTATCATTGATCTTGGGGTTTTAGGAAAATAAGAAAAAATTAAATTAATTATATCATGAATTTTTTAATTTTATAGTTGATTTTGCTTATCATATTTCAGTCTGATGTAAAAGCTCCACCCCCTATGAATTTTAGAACAACTTCAATGTTCGTGTATGTATTAGGCCTGTGCCGGTCCACATATTTTTCACCGATTCGATCCGATATTTTCCGATATTGCTTCAAAACCGATCCGATATTTTTACTGATTTTTAATCACCCCCGTTTGAACCAAATATAATTAAGAAATCAATATTTTTTATGCAAAAAATCGAATTATGAATAATTTAAATTTTTTATTTCTACAATTAAGACTTTAATAAAAAAATATATATTTAATAATATATCCATTTTATGTTGGAATTATAAAATTGTAATATTTAATATATAAAATTATAATATAGTAGATATTTTTAATAAATATGAGAGCCTCTAGATTTTCTGGGAATAAGTTTCTACGATATGGACTAACTATATCTCCTGCCGTACTGAAGGCAGACTCAGATGATTCCGCAGATAACGCATTTTGCAAAATTATCTTTGTCTTTTGTAAAATATTTCCATAATTCAGCACCATATTTAAAAAAATTCTTTTATTTAAAGTATAAATAAAAAAATTGGCGTTATTTAAAAAGATTTAAAATAAATAAAAATTTGGGTGTTCCTTTCTATATTTATAAAAAAAAACTTTTAAAATACTATAAATCTATTTTAAAAAAGAAATAAAATTTTAAAAAATTATTTAGAAATATTATAATAATGTAAAATAAATATATATAACATAAAATAAAATAACAAAAAAAAAGAAAAGTAAAAAGATCGGATTGGTTTTTCTATAGGTATCGGCCCGATCCGATAATTTCGGAAAACGCTAAATACCGATCCGATCCGATATTTAATATCGGCACAACCCTAGTATTTATTATTTCACAAGCAAAAATGAATGTAATATAAATTACGAGTAATTTCGAAATAACGGCAAAAATTGTCTGAAATTTACAGGAGTTATATATATATTATACAATAAATATAGATCGGAAACTAAATTTATAATTTCAAATTTAAATAATTACCTTTAGAGAGTAAATATTTTGATTGATAGATTTTTTTTAATCTCCCCATGGATTAAACCTCATATAATCGATAAAAATAAAAAAAGAAGAAAAACGAGAAACAGAAAGAAATAAATATTTATTTTTATATATAAAATGTCTTTTAATTACCATGATAGGATTAACCACGCAAACAATGCCATAGTGAAACCTAATTCCAAGCCACCTGAAATAGTCCAAAAGGAGATAGAGAGGGCCATGAATAAAGTCAAGGAGGTCGAAAATCTTATTTCTTCCGTTTTGGATACTGGTTTTTTCTTAATAAATAAATCAATAAATTAGAAACTTGCAGAGTTTGGGATCTGTACTTTAAAGGGTTCCGGTTCTTAAATTTAGCGCCGGTTCCTGCATTTCTAAATGTAATTAATGTAGTTAGAAAATAATTTATTTGATAATTTTTTTTTATCATTAAATCAAAAAATAACCTTTGGCAGATGACCTTAAAGCGAAAAAACGCAAAAAACACTCCCGCGATTCTAGGCGAAGAAGTTCTAGCAGCAGTTCGACTAGTAGAAGTCGATCGTCGCGGGATCGGAGGAGACACAAAAATAGCCGTCGCCATGGTCACAGAAGTGGGAGCAGACGGCGTCATAGGGATGATAGTGGTAATAGGAGAAGAAGAACTCGTGAAAGGGAAAGTAGTAGGCAGCGTCGACACAATAGGAGATCGGAGGACAAGTGAATACTCGTTATTTATATGTGTCAAACTATTTGACCTTATCCAGATTGGAAATTTTTATTATTTACAAGTCTGACCTGGTCCGAAATGATTTAGGAAATTTTTTTTACAAGTCTGATTTGGTCTGAAATGATTTAGAAAATCTTTTGACCGGACTTTGAGCAGTAAGCGAATATTAAACGTTCCGCTACACGATTTTCCAACTTGTTAAGCCTATATTTTTTATAATTTTTAAGTGCCCAAATTTTCAAGATTATACTATTTTTGGCCTTTTACGGAGGCCTGCAGTTCCCTGATTTTTATATATTATTTAATATTTTACCTCGAAAAGTGTCATTTTGAACTTCCATTATATATCATTTCGAGCTTGTTTATTTTTTTTATAAAAAATTGTTACGATCCCGCGATTTTAAAAGAGTCGGCTGGATCAAAGAGAGAAAATGTCACTTATTAGAAGGGTTACACTTTATATACGATACAAGTTAAGAATGATGAATACTTTACAAGGTATTTTTAAAAAAAACGACAATTAAGAATTTAATCAAAAAAATATTACCGAGTCTCGAGATTTCGCCAAAAGATGGCAAAAATATTTCATATTTTGGTAAATTCTCTGGGATTAAAGTAAGATTTGTTTGCCTAAAATCCTGATTTTGCCTTATCTTAAAATATCATCTAAATTGAGGTTTTTGTTTTTAAAAATTTTAATAAAATTTTTATAGATAGTAATACAAATCTAATTTTTAGAAAATTTTTAAAACTTGGCTATAGCCCGTTTTTTAAACTTCGAAACACCTGACATGTAATCCTAGAATTTCATGATTTTATCATTAGATTCTGTAAACTATAATTTTGATTTGTATTAAAATATTTATTTATTCGTAGATTTTTCGTATTGATTAAACACACAAAATTTTATATGGAAATTCTCTGGGTAGATACTTTATAAACCCGGAATACTAATATCGAAAAAAATAAAGTCTTAAATTTAAAAGTAAAGGAAGCGCATTACAATTAATTTAAGTTGTAAAAAAATTGGCTGAAAACCTGGATAATTGAGGCAGCCCTGAGTTGGCTAACCCCATTCTCGACATATGTACCACGAGAAGGGAGAAGATGCTTAATTTTTATTCATAGTGTCTAGTTTAAGATGTGTCACCATTAAATCCACAATACAAAAAACCTATGAAAGGTGTATGATATACTAGAAACTCAGATTCGGAACACAAACAATATTCTATATATTATAATAAACGTTAAGGCTGTGTCCCCTAGCTTCCCTTTTTTCTTTTAAGAATTCGAGATATCTTTTATGCTTAAATTTTTTGAAAGATATGAATAATTACACCTTTAAACATATTTTAAATATATCATCACCTTATGTCAAAATCTATAATTTAAAAACAAAAAATAGTGCCCAGGCTGCTATTTTGTATAGAATTTATACAAAAATAAGTTATGTCAAACCTGGACGCGTTCTAAGACTAAGGCTATAAGGATTTTTTTTTATTCACTTTATCTTTTAACATTGACGGCAATCATTCTCGTTTCTAAAATAGTAAGTTCGAAAATGATTGGCATTAAAAGATATGAAAAGTAACTCTTTTTGGAAATCATTACAGGCCGACTTGGTCTTAAACTCCCCCCCCCCTCCCCCAAAAAAAGAAAATTTTGTCATTTTAAATAACCTTGGTTTCATTTTCTAAATTATTTCGAGGATGAAAATGAAGTTTAACGCATTATACGATTTTGTAATATTTTTTACAACTGATTAATTAAAATTTTAAATTATTATTTGAAAAAATCGGACACTAACCCTACCCTGCCTCCTTCAGTTGGCAAAAAATATAAATTAAACCCGTTACAAAAATTTATTATCATTTTAATTTGATAAAAGAAGAGAAAACATTATTTTTCTATACTTTACAAGCCCCGTCTGGCTTTGGGCTCACTTTGCGGTGTTCTAGTATATAACGAGCGTTTTCCTACGCAAAACCTTATATTTCTACGCACTTTACAAGCCCTTTCCTACGCAAAACCTTATATTTCTACGCACTTTACAAGTCCCGCCTGTCTTCGGCCCCACTTTGTTGTGTTCTAGTATATAACGAGCAAAACCTTATATTTCTATGCTTGGAACCCTAAATCAAAGCATTGGTTTGTTTTTTTTGCCCAATCTAAATCCTGTTCTTTTCTAAGGAGTATTCATCTGCATTATGGTAACAGCAGTTTTTTAAACTTATTTCGATTGTAAAAAGGTTATTTATATACTTTATCTGATATATTTTCGCAGGGAGGAAAGCAGACGTAGGTATGGCAGGAGTAATAGGACTAGTAAAAGAAGAAGTTCTTCTAGCCACAAGGAAAAACTGCGCAATGATAAAAAATCTCAAGAAAAAAAGCATAGAAGCAAAAGCAAAGAAAAGGTGTTCAAGTCAGGAACTAGCAGTAAACGACATTCTAGCAAAAGCAAACCTCCCTCGAGTTCAAGCCGACGAGATAAGGATGACTCGGACAAGAAAAAGCAGACAAAGGTTGATGTAAAAGGAAGCGATAAAAAGACCAGTAGCACCAGCAAAGGACACCGGGGGAGAGATGGTGGTACACCTGAAGTTAAACATGGTGCCGATAAAGAGCGAAAGACTACGAAACACGATAAAGCAAGGCCTGAAATTGAAATTATTGAAATTAGAGAAGAATCAACAAAAGAAAAAGAAAAAAAGACATCTCGAAAGTCCCCTGATACTTTTAAAAACAAATTCAAAGAAATAAAACATTCAAAAGCAGACGATAAAAAGCAATCCAAAGCACACGATGAAAAACACTCCAAATCAGACGATAAAAAACGAGCCAAAGCAGAAGATAATATAAAAAAAATAAAAACAAAAGATATAACACGTGAAAATAGCGATGATATATTATCGCGTCCCACATCAGAAGAACGATCTGAACAGCTTCAAAATGGCAACCAATTAACGCAAAATGGCGTGAGTGCCTGTGAACCGGAAGTGGATGAAAAATTGTCTCCTAAGGAATCTGTAAATGATTCTCCCTCTTCATTTTCTCACGATGATGGCGAAGAAGAACCAAATATTTCAATCCAGTGAGTTTTTACCGCCATTTGACGGATATTTTTCTTAAAAAAAGATTAAGTAAATAGTTTCATAGTTAAGATAATTTAGTTACATTTTTAAAATTTTATTGGGAGAAATAAAAAAACAAAATTTTCAATTTCAAATCACGCTTTAAATATTTTTTGCGTCAATCGAGTAGTCAAGTTATCATTTAATTTTTAACTAATAATATCTTATTTTTTTATTGTTCCCAAAACCGATTTGCTAACCGGTATTGATTACCGGATCGATTTGGGACGAATGTCCGATCGTGGGTTAACACTGCTCAATTACTGATTAGAGATCTAGGGTTGTTTTAATTTGGTCATTCAAATATAATTCGGTTCGTATTTAACTCAAAAATATAACGCGAATGATATACTATTCATGGGCTTAAAAAGTGTAAGGCATAAATTCATTATACTCATTGGTCCTTCGAAAAAATTTAACACAAACAAAAACCAGCAGGCAAAATTCACGACGAACCCTTTCTTAGACTCTGAAGGGGCTAAAGATTGCCAAGATGTCAACTGCTATATGGAAGCAAACCCTATATAGTCAAACCTCTTGGGTTTAAACAATCTAAATTAAGGTCGATCTCGGTATCGAACCGAATCCAAGGGTCTCTCTTAGCAATTTTAGGCTAGGCTTCTTCAAAAACGAATATGAATCATATAATATTTGATTTTTTTGAGTGAATATAAACTATTCGTACGTAAGAGTTGTGAATCTTATTCGTACAAATACAAATACTAATATTTCGTTATTCGTTTTTGAAAAGGGCTACTAAATCCTTATAAAATTGCTATAAATCACCTTATTAAAAATATTATTTAGGCACCAAAAAAGTGCTAAAGATCCGGACACGTTAAACCAAACCCTCATGCTGAAACTCCAACAAATCGAGAAAGAAATGGGAATACTGGAGGCGGTTAAAGAACAAATTTCTAATCGAGATGGTAGGGATTCGTCCGTCCATTCTATTGAAAGCGGGGCAGAAACGGCCGAAAAGAAGAAAGAGCACAAAAAGAAGAAAAATAAACATAAGAAATCGTCTAAGAAATGACAAACAAAAAAAACATAGTAAAAGGTATTCGGAAATAATAAGATCTTTAAAAATATTTTAAACATTAATTTTGTAACATATATTATACTTATATTTTTTTTTTTAATAAAAAAATTTCTTAGATTTTGTACTCTAATTTATATTATATTATCTAATAGTATATTTATAAATGTGTATCTAATATGACAATTGATTATAAATAAATGCATAACGGGAAACTAAATTCATGTTCTTTTACATCTATATGACAGTCCAATTAAAACTTTGTTACCGTCTATTTGGTTAATATATCTTAAATGTCTCAAATGCTAGATTTATATTAAATAGTGTCGTTTTACAAACTACCTTAAACCTGATGAATTTTTAGTTATTTAAACTTTTCAAATGATAAATTTGATATATTTTGAAATAATTATTTAAAATAACATGGACTGAGCATAAACGGGATACGAAATACCCATGCTAAAATAAATATCTCCATATAAAAGTAACTTCTAAAAGAATAAATTATATTTAAATTGAGTCGGAATGACTCAACCAATCATGTTAGATGCACTATACATATTCCACTTATTAAAATGTACATTCAAGTGTGTCAGTTGTAGGCACCATTGTATTATCATCCAGACTATTCACTTTAAATTAGATTTTAATAAATAAATCGTCAAACTAGTTTGCCTATATAATTTTACTAACACTAAATAATTCATGTGAAATAGAATGCCGAATTTCTATTGAGGTCCATTGTTTTAAAGAGCACCCCCTAGGTCATCTAAGAACCATTTATTTAAAAGTAATTATAATAAATTATATTAATGTAATAATTTATTAATTAGTTAGGGTTGCAAAATGTTACTAAAATTTCTATATAACTCATTTAATCAGTTTTTATAGCCTAATTGCAAGGAGGAAAATTTTATTTTTATTAATTGATGCCTATATTTTTCGTTTAAATATAATTAATTAATCATATTAGTATGACTTTTCCAAAATACTTAAACTTAGCCATCTCCCTCCCTAATCAAATCTTTTTTTTACTAATCAGATTATTGTTATGAACTTTTTAAACATACTCGGTATGCTTTTACTAATTAATATTAAAAAATTTAGGTCATAAAAGTGAAAATATTCCATAAATATTCTTTTTATAATACTATTAACTTAATATTATCGAAAAAAATTATCAAATATAGTCTCCTTTATTATAAGATAGAAAATTCATAAATATTAAACCAAATGTCATTTTAAAACATGTAATCTACCGCCCTGATAAAATTTTTAATAACTTATTACAATATAGTAATGTAAAAGGCTGTTTATTTTGACTATTCTGAAAAAGCGAAATTTTTTAATAGTTTTATTTTGAATAATTTAAGTTTTCATCCGGAATACCTGAAATGCTGTTATAGCGTTAAAAGGCTATTAGAAAAAAGCTTGCAAGGATGGCCTTTAAAATCAAAGTAAACACGTGTTCTGGTTTCGGTTTCCAAATTTTTAGAGTGCATTCTTGCTCGGGTTCTTTTCCAATTTTAATAAACCGATTAAATTAATATTTTTTAAAATTAGCGATAATATTGTTCTCTATGAAAGCAATATTTGAAAGATCTGGAAAAATATTACATTGATAACACTTAGCAAAATTAATTTTTTATTCTCCCGATATATATTAAATTTTCCCTCCATATATTTAAATATAAATTTTAAGGATTATTCAATCAGTTCTATATAAAATAATTTTCTCTTCAGTAAGAAAACCATTCATTATCTGTCAGGAGAAAACAGATTAGTTTTCTGACCCACAATTTATCAATCATCTCATGTGTAAAGAATATAAACTTAAATTTTGCAAATTAATAGGAATTGGTGATGTAGCTGAGATTTAGAATTTCTTAGAGTCGTTTTAACTGTTTCCTCTAATAGAATTATTAAAACTTTGGGAAAATTTAAAAACTTCTTTGCCTGGAGGTTTCTCAATAGTATCGTGGATCCTTTCCCTGTTTAACATAGATTCATATTTAATATGGCTTACCCAATTTATTAGAAATATGGGTATTCATTCATATCATTGAAAATAAGTTCTCGAATTTTCATGTTGTGGATAAGATTGCTTTACATTTAATTTGATGTATTTCCTGCATATCGTTAGCATTGTTACATCTTAATATTGAATATCCTTATAGAAATAATCTAATTTCAATTGAACCAATTATCCATAAGAAAATTATTCATGGCTGAATAATTCAATTATAACTGAGTAACTCTATTTAAGTTGATAAACCATCAGAACAGTATCTAACAGAGTTGTTAAAGTAGCGCGCTATCTTTTTTTGGTAGCTATAGCTAATAGCCGCTACTTTTTTTAACATTATTTAATTTTTTAGCGCGCTACTTTTAAAAAATATAATGAATGTAGTATAAACATGAAAATTTAAATATAATATCATAATTAATTATAATTTTTATAATTTATTATTTAATTTTGAAATTTAAATATATTTTTAATTTATATTTTCAATCTGTGTTAATAATCTAAAATGGCATCGCCCATGGATATCCAAATCCTTGAAAGTGATTCAGACATGGAAGATTCAATGGAAGAAAATGTACTTAATAGCTCTAATAACGATTTCCCATTCCCTAGATTTGAAAAATTTTTTAAAATAAATATTAAAACAAAATCAGGATTCAAATTCCTGTGCTTAAAATGTAAAAAAAATATATCATCAAATCAATCGAGTAGCTATAACCTGAAGAAACACCTAAAGGTAAATTGTTATTTTTACATTATAATATTATTTATTTTATTAGACTGTTCGCGCCAATTGCTATAAGGAAATAGAGAAACATATAAAAAATTTTGGTATAGGAGAATCTTCATTCAAAAAGACAAATACTATCCAAACCAAATTAACTGATAATAAACATGCCAATATTTCACAAAAATTGGCTGATAAAGTAATTGTTGATTTTATTATTGACACAGTTCAGCCATTGTCCTTGGTTGATAATCCATCATTTACTATGATGATTAAAACTTTATCCCCTGCACAACATACTCAAATATTGAGATAAGACAAAAAAAAAGACTTCCTATCTCTACCTGCAAAAGAATGATTCATTCTTTAGGCTATAAATTTTATAAGGTGATTTAATTTTTACACAGTAAATGTACTTTTAGTTTTATGATAGGCCAAGAAAAAATCTCTAACGATACTATTTGGAAAATGAAATTTAAAGTTTGGACCTTTACCTAATAGGCAAAGGTTTTTGATTGAAATTTGAGAAGCAATAATGTGGTATGCAAGGGAAACAAAGAATACCATCCTGATAAATTAAATGTTTGAGAGAACAAAGTATCTAAGCACTGACAGGCATTGTTTGAAACAATGCCTAGAATGTTTCAGTACATTATTAGAGCTAAAAGACACGTTTCTAAATTTTGACCTATATTAGTATGTGTTATATCCATCAAAATGATAACTTTGTTTATGCTATAACTCATGGCATATTTAACCTTTTTTAAAAATAAATTGTTGTTTATGTACACAATACAATTATATGTATATTTGATTTTATAATTATGACAATAAATAAAATATTTCAACCTATCTTAATAAAGCGTTTAATATTGCAATGCATAAAATAAAAACCAGGGTTATTTTCATGGTATATACACTGTATTTTATTTTAAGAGGGTTCCATGTTTTGGTTATGGTTTCAAATCTAGTTAAAGCAAACAATACTCACTAATCTTTCCCTGTATCCTCTATTTATAATCAAGAACTTTAGATTAGGTAAATGTGGTGTTTATTGAAATAAAAATAAAATTGAGAGAAATATAAAAAGATATTTTTTATTCATCCAAAGTATATTCGCGATAATCAATCTATTACGATAAATTGTATCCTTAAACCAAAATAACAAATTACAATTTATTTAAAGTTGATATATTACAGTTCTCCCCACTACAAATTGAATATGTAATGATAACGTAGTAGGGATTTATAAACTCTTTTTTTAAGAGTTGTATTTCCATTGTGTTCTGCATTGTCCAAATCTTCAGTCATTGTTATGGGTATTTCCTTAGCTTGTACATGAGCATCCCTCAGTTAATCGGCATGCTTGTTTTTTTTACAATACACTCAGACTCAACATCATACAATATCGCACATTTTCTTTGAACCACTGTCCTTTCATGCCATCCCGCAGTCCTTTTTTCTACCCAAACCTTTTGCTTCTTTTCAAATTCATGGGGATTAACGTTCCTATCTTTATAATTTAAAAAAAGTTACTCTTTTAATTTAATATTTAAGATTATTATTATACATATATATATTATTTTATGTGTTTTACCTTGTTCAAAATATCAACAATTATTATTTCATATAAATTTCTTAATCAAATATATTCACGATATTTTTGAGATATCTCTTCAAAAATAAAAAATAAATATAAAGGCTATGTTCTTTTTTAAAATAAAAATAAATCCTTTTGTTGCCAATGTATTTATTTCTTTTCCAACAAGTAAATAAAATACATGGCCAACGACAGGGTCACATATATATATAATTTATAAAGTTAATCATATTTTTAAAACCTTAAAAACATAAATATATCATGTATACATTAAAGATATCTTTTAAAAACATTATGCGTTTTTTTACAAAAACCTTAATTACAACAATAATATTTTTGTTTCGATAATGCGTTCAGTCCTTTCTTTTATAGATAGTTTTCATTGATCTAACGTAGTCCTGAACGGCCTTCCAAACATCATTTCGTTGGGGAATTACCGGTAGTTGCATTTGGAGTATTTCTGTGAGTAATCAAAACATTCGCTAAATTTAACTGGTCCGGAGATCCAGATCTCCTTCCAGCATATAAACGCATCTATATCGTACTTATATAACGCTCAGCCAAACCATTCGATTTGAGGCTATAAGAGGCCGATCTAAAATGTTTCATGTTGTTTTTAAAAAGAAACGTTTTGAATTCAGATCCAGTAAACTGAGTACCTTTATCTTAAACAATGTAACAAGGTAACCCAAATCTAGCGAAAGATTATGCAGATCTCGTCAATTAATATGTGTCAATATTGCAACTTCAACCCATTTGGTGAAGGCGTCTACTCAAATTAACCAATACTTTCCAGACCTGTCAAATCAATGTATTCGTTCTCAAGGTCGGGTAGGAAGGTTTCA